TGGCAGCCATCAGCCTGGCTTGTGGCTGAGCAGAGCTCCCCCTGTGGGAGCGCACTGACCACCAGGGGGCAGCTCCTGCATTGAGCGTCTGCCCCCTGGTGGTCAGTGTGTGTCCTAGTGACCAGTCATTCCCAGTGGTTCTGCTGTTAGGGTCAATTTGCATATTACCCTTTTATTATATAGGAGTGCCTGGCCAGCCTGGGTGAGGGGCTGAAGGCCATTTTCAGGATGGCCACACCCCCTTCAGAGTGGGGGAGTCCTGCTGGGGTGCCTGGCCAATCTGGATGAGGGGTTAATGGCTGTTTGCAGGCTGGCCAAGCCCCCAGCAGGGACCCCTAGCCCCTGAGGGTGTGGCCAGCCTGAGTGAGTGGCTGATGGCTGGTTGCAGGCTGGCCACAGCCCCTTCAGTGTGGGGGTCCTCACTGGGGTGCCTGGCCAGTCTGGGTGAGGGGCTGAGGGCCATTTTCAGGCTGGCTAAGCCCCCCAGTGGGGACCCTCACCCCATGAGGGTGTGGCCATCCTGGGTGAGGGGCTGATGGCTGTTTGCAGGTTGGCCACGGCCCCCAGCCACTCAAGCTTCCAGTGGAATCTGGCTGGAAGCAGGTATCTGGGATTTATTTGTCTTCTATAATTGAAACTTTGTTGCCATCAGCAGAGGCCACAGCCCGCGCAGGGCAGGTAGGAAGCTTGGCTTCCTCCATCACCCGGACAGCCAAGCCTCCTGCTTGCTCCAGCTCAGTGGCTGCCGGCCACCATCTTGGTTGGGTTAATTTGCATATAATTGCTCTGATTGGCTGGTGGGTGTGGCCTAGGGCATAGCAAAGGTACAGTCAATTAGCATCTTTATCTTTTATTAGTGTAGATGGTCTCTGCCCTTGTGAGCCTTTGGGGTAAGCACTCTTAATTCCATAATTCAATGTGTCAAATATTAATTATATTCACCTTTAAATTTGAAATACACTTGGGGCTAAAGTTTGGGGAAATGAACTGTCATGTACACTGTTGGCTGGAGTGTAAACTGATACAACTTTTGGAGACCAGTTAGGCCAATCATAATTGTACATGACTATCTTACATGATCCCTCATTCTCACTTCTTCTGTCCTATAAAAACATTAGCAAAAGTAATTTAAAAATATGTGTATAAGAATATTTATCACAGTTAACTGAAAAAATCAATTTGTTGAGTAATATGTGTATAAAAAGTATAATCATATAAAAACTCTCAACATATATGTTACATGATTGGAGGTGTTTTGTTCTGGGAAGAGAGACTGGTGAAGGAAAGGGAAAGATGCACATTCACTTTTTACTGTATGGAGGTATGTATTTTTTACATACACAAGCACAAAGTTCTTATATAAAGATTCTTAAGTATCAGATTGAACACTTAGGTTTATAGCAGTTCCACACAGGGACACCTAAGCTAGAGTTCCCCCTAGGGAGTAGAGAGTCACTTAGAATGCTAGGTCGAAGATCAAAGGATGCAAACGCTAGTTGTCCACAGAACTGCAGTTGATAGACTAAAAATTTTGACTTAGTGACTCTTCAGATCTGAATTTGAATGAGAAATAGAGTTAATTATTGACCTAACAATCCCTGGAATCAACCAATTCTATATCCAAACACTGATTCTCAACCAGATCATTTGGGTCGTATCAACGTGTAATTGCTGAAAAATGCAAATGATATAATTCCAATCTAATTGAGTAAATTATGCAACCCATGTAGTTTGATTTCTAAATGACAATGGAATTCCTTAATTAATATACATTTTAAAGAAACATTCTACACTCATAACAATCTTTTCCTTTTTCCCCCCTTTTCCACATTAATGTGGCCATTGTGATGATGTCAATTGCCAGTTTGAAAAATTCTATTTGCTACAGCATGTAAGATGGTGGCTTTAGTAAACTGATCATTTATAGAAAGGGGTGGCTCTGGCAAGATGAAGGTCTGGCCTGCCCTTTGTTGGGCAGCCTTCTCAATAGCAGTTCTTTCTGCTTATGTGGTATACTTGAAGTAAAACCGTTTCTTTTGCATTTTATATATTTACCTCTTACTTTTCAGCCTTAATCTGGTTTTCCACCCAGCATGTTCCTCCAATCTGGTTTTATTTTGTCTTAGCCTCTCTACATATTTAATCTGACAATAACCTATGGAAGTAGGGGAATGAGAGCCAACAATAATGGATATGTATCAGTCTGTGTGAGGTGCTTCTCATACATTTGTCACTTAATTCTCCTAACAACACTGCAAGATAGGTCCTATAACTGTCACTTTCCCAGTAAAAGAACAGGTTCAGAAAACCTAAAAGCTAGCCTCAGATCATGCCACTTCTAAGTAACAGAGTCTGTTGGGCTCCAAAGGCTAAACTCTTTCCAATTAGCCACACTTAATCCAAAAATGTATGTATAGTTCTCATTTTTATCACGTGCTGTCTAAATCTTTCTGTAGTAAATACTGTGAAGGAAAGGAAAAAAGACAGAGGATTACGAGGATTTTGACCTGAACAACTGAGTGACTGGCAGTGCCATTTAGTGCAGAGAGGAATTCTGGGGGGGAGCCAGCTAACAGGTGGCATGCTGATTACATTGGACCTATTCCATCAGGGAAGGTGCCAAAATTTTTCTCTTTGGAACAGGCACTTATTCCGGATTTGGATTTGTTTCCCTGGCTGTCGTCATGCTGCCACCAGAACTCTCTCTATGGACTTGCTGGGTGGCTTACACTCTTATCATGGTCTCCCACATAATACTACTTCTGACCAAGGAATTCCTCTTATAGGATATAAGTAAGCCAGGAGACGCATGCCCACGAGATTCCCCAGTCCCAGTATGTATCCCAGCACCAGAAGCAGGTAGCTCAGTAGAAAAGAATGGTCTGTTGGCAGCCAGTTCCGCGCCAGCTGGAGAAGGACCTCACAGTGACAAGCATGTGCTCTCGCCAGCATTGTGCTTCTCCCCTGGCCAGGGCACACTTGGCCAGGAATCCAAGGCATAGAAGCAGTGGTGGAGCCCTAGCCGGCTTGGTTCAGTGGATAGAGCATCGGCCTGTGGACTGAAGGGTCCCAGGTTCGATTCTGGCCAAGGGCACATGCCTGGGTTGCGGGCTCAATCCCCAGTGGGGGTATGCAGGAGGCAGCCAATCAATGATTCTCTCTCATCATTGATGTTTCTATCTCTCTCCTCTCCCTTCCTCTCTGAAACCAATAAAGAAATATATATTTTTTAAAAAAAGAAGAAGCAGTGGTGGAGGGGACTTCTCAAAATTATACCAACCGCCTTACCCCAAACCATTTGCCTTTTTACTCAAGATTCCATTTGTGAGATTCGGGTATCTGAAGGAAATGCTGGAGGCACAACCTTCCAAAAATGACTGATCAGGATAGCCTTGTAGCCAACCAATGAGCATTAAGCCAGATTTTATTTCAGATAGAAAAGTAAAGAAATTGGATGTTCTTTTTATTATTATTATTGATTTCAGAGAGGAAGGGAGAGAGAGATAGAAACATCAATGATGAGAGAGAATCATTGATCAGCTGCCTCCTGCACACCCACTACTGGGGATTGAGCCTGCAACCCGGGCATGTGCCCTTGACCAGAATCGAACCCGGGACCCTTTAGTCCGCAGGCTGACGCTATTCACTGAGCCAAACCGGCTAGGGCCAAACTGGATGTTCTTACACCCAAATATCATGCAGCTCTTCACACCTATTACATGTAATGCAGATTTCCAGGTCTCAGTGTCTTCCATTCTTACCTTTTGTGGCCTCCAGGGCCAAGTCTTCCTGCTGTCATGTTCTCCTTTCCATGCCCCTCGCTCCAGTTGGGTATCTGCTGCCTGAAGGAGACTGTCTGCTGTTCTTGCACAAGATTGTCAGCATCTCTGCCAACAGTCCTTTACCCAAAGGGCTCTCTCAAAGTCTTGTTCAAAAGCAGACACTTTTGTCTTTTCTCTTTGTTTCTTGCCTGCAAACAACAAGCAAAATGCTAGTAAAAATTCTTGACCAAGGAACCAGCATTGCCTTCACTCACAGAGATCCAAGACTCTCCCACCCCTCACACCCCAAATCAAGAAGAATGCAGTCGCTTGAATGCACAAGGCACTAGCAAACCAGAACACTTCTCATCTGCCTTCCAGCTCGGGGTGACTTCCCAGTTCCTTCTAGAATAACAGGTTCTCCTTTCATGGCACAAACAGGCCTATTCTAGAAAACTTTCTCAGATCAACAGAGTGGGTACCAATTACTCAGGCCTGAAACTCAGGTGTACAAGAAATGTAACTTTACTTCATTTTTTGTAACAGTGATAGATATAGATAGATGATATATATAGATGATAGATATAGATATAGATATAGATATAGATATAGATATAGATACAGATATAGATATAGATATAGATATAGATATAAAGTCTCAGACCATCACCACTCATTTCTGCAAGGTGAGAAAATAAAATCTTAGCCAATTAGATTAAGATTTAATAACAGTTGAGGCTTCCCCCTCTCTTTCCTGGTGCTGCATCTACACTCTGGGAATGGGGGTGTGGAACTTTGAACATCCACAGAAGAAGCCTGACTTTGCTGGCCTCTGGGGCGGCCTCCCGTGGCTCTGGTTCAGCACCTTCTTGCCGTCCGCTGGCTCTCTATGCTGGGTGCACACTGACTGCTCTCAGCCACACAGGAAAATGCTCAGCTGCTCCTGCGCCTCACTGGATGCAGGGGACACTGAGGATGCCCCAGGCCCATGAGCCCAGGCACCCTTTGGGGTCTTCTCTCCTGCATTGCCTTTCCTCCTCTGAGGAGGCCCATTTGAGAGCTGTGCTGCCTCACTTACCTGGGGTTATTATTAGTGAATTGGGAGTGTGGAGCTACAAGTGGCTGCCTCTCCACAAAGGGAGCATGTGATGCAAGTAGATTCCTCACCCTGCGGGTCCAGCCATGCCTTCTCCCCCTCCGCATTTCCCGCTGTGCCTTGGCCAAGAAAGGGGTGGGGGAAAGCTGAGCCCCTTTGGATCAACTACTTAACACTCTTGCAGTTTTCAAAGTCCTTCCAACTTGCTAAGTCCCCATACTCACCTTTAATCCTGTGTGACAGTTCACTGCCAAATATTCCATTTCCCACTGACCCAATCAGAAGCAAAGTAGGCACTTATTCTTCCAGAAAAGGTTTAGAGGTTGTTTCAAAAACTAAACAAAACAAAAATTTCATCCTTTATGGGATGGAGAATGCTTTGCCCTCCAGCTTTGGAAACTGGAATCTTCTGCCCATGCACAGCTTGTCTGCAGTGGCTTCAAGAATTCAAAGCAGGTCAAGGGGGTGCCAGTCTGCCTGCAGCCTGGGGTCCTCTACCTGGTGGTCAGAGCTGGAGTCCAGGGTGTGAAGTTCTGAGCTACCAGCTACAAAGCCTGTCTGTCCCCAGGACAATGTTCAGGTCACTTAGGAATTCACAGAAGAGCTTTTAAATTCTCCTTTTCTTACTCCGAAATTCCTTCCTTTTGCTGGCTGTCCTGCATAGATTCTCAAACTATTGCATTTTTTTCTAATGAAGTCTCATCTTGGCCCACTACTGCTTCTAAATCAACAATTTCTAAGAAGTTTGCCTCATCCCTGCACATCAGTTTTCTCATGTCCTGGAGTGACCTACTCTAAATCCATCCTAGGGTTTATCAGTCTATAGAGCAGATGTGTACTTTGACCTAAGACAATTTTTTAATGCCTGTGACTCAATTTTCTTCTGTAAAATTGGGCAACTTACAGTATCTATAGCATAACATATAAGGCCCTTAGAACAGAGCTTGGTGCATAGTAAGCAGTCAATAAATATTACAGTTGTCCTTCGGTATTCATGGGGGATTGGTTCCAGGACCCACCTCAGATACCAAAATCCGTGGGTGCTCAAGTACCTTATATAAAATGGTGTACTAATTTGCATACGATGCACATACATCCTCCCATATACTTTAAATCATCTCTAGATTACTTATAATATAAATAGTTGTTATACTTATTGTTTATGGAATAAGGGCAAGAAAAACCTCTGTACATGCTCAGTATAGACATAATCATCCTAGGCCTGTCTACATAGTTGACTTCAGCAAAAATGTAACTTTTTTGCTGCATATTTGCAATCTATGATTGGTTGAATCTGAGAATATGGAACCCATGGATATGGAGAGCAGACTGTATTATTATTATTGTTGTTGTTGTTATTATTATTATTTCCACATGAACCCCTACATGCAGTAGGGTCAGTGAGGCTTGGGCCATACCTCAAATATGCAAAAAATGTGACTTTACTTTTTCACAAGTCTACTTAGTTTCTATTCTGTGGGCCCATTCCACTGGATTGGAAAAACGTCACTCAAGTTATTTCAGGGTAGTCCCACTCCATTAAGAGTCTCCCTCTCCCCAGGGTTGAGTCTAACTCCTGGGCCTTTGCGGGGTGCTAATGATCAGAACGGGCCTCTGTCCCATGTGTGGTTAAAGTCACCCCAGATGGCCCTAGCCCAGCAGCCCAGCCAGTTCCCTGCAGTGGAACTGACTCCCCAGAGAACCCGGTTTAGGTCCAGTTTGTATGTCCTGGGGAGTGTGGTAGCAGAGAACACCTCTAACAAGAAGTCAACTTTCTTTGTAGGTTCGGGGGGATTACAAGAGGGAGGGGGGATGTGGTAAGGTAAGGTTTTAGAATCCTATACAATGTGTCTTTCATTACTGGTAATTTATTTTTACCCTGTGGCCCTTTCCCAAAGTAGACTGTGAGGACTCCATTGATTCCAGAGAAGGGTCATTACATCCGAGAAGCAGAGGAAATGCTTTTAGGAGGTTCAAACATCTGGACTTTTCAGTATCAAAAGCCAGCCTTGAAAGAGTCACAGCATTAATTTAGGCCATAAACACTAGATTTGAAAGAATATGATGTGATGGTGAAGGTCAGGTTTCCCAAGCCAAAATGAGATACAGATTCTCTGGGTTGGAGGGGAGGAGAGATGGAAAGGGAGCAGGTGTCTTAGATTCTGTGTGGGAGGAGGACCATATAGCTTAATGTGCTGGACACTGTTAAGGGTAAAAGGGAGTTCTATCACTAATTATGCTGGGAACACAGGCACACACCAGGACTGTCCCAGGCGAACCAGAGGGATGTATGTTCCCCCTACACATGGGTCTCACTCCCCACTTCCCACCCTCGCCCAGGACCAGGTGAAGGTGAGGGTTTCTAGAAACCACAGCTATGCCTGGGAACTGAGAGGAGAGCTCCTGCTTCTCCTTGCTTAGGATAAAGCTCCAGGGCGCCCCAAGGAGGTGTGGGAGCGCGGCCACAAAGCAG